CCTCTCGTCGTTATGCTGGTTTCCTCTCATAGCTATGCCAGTTTCCTCTCGTGGTTATGCTGGTTTCCTCTCGTCACTATGCTGGTCTCCTCTCTTAGTTATGCCGGTTTCCTCTCGTCATTATGCCGGTTTCCTGTCGTCACTATGCCGGTTTTCTCTCGTCACTATCGCTGGTTTCCTCTCGTTACTATGCCAGTTTCCTCTCGTCATTATGCCGGTTTTCTCTCGTCACTATGCTGGTCTCCTCTCGTAGTTATGCCGGTTTCCTCTCGTCACTATGCCGGTTGCCTCTCTACACTATGCTGGTCTCCTCTCGTAGTTATGCCGGTTCCTCTCGTCACTATGCTGGTCTCCTCTCGTAGTTATGCCGGTCTCCTCTCGTAGTTATGCCGGTCTCCTCTCGTCGTTATGCTGGTTTCCTCTCGTCATTTTGCAGGTTTCCTCTTGTCGTTATGCAGGTTTTTACTGGTCGTTATGAAGGTTTCCTCTGGTTACTATGCCGTTTCTCCAAATTAAAATTTCAGAAATTATAAAATTAAATTATATAATTAAAATCTTAAAAATAATAAAACAAAGTTATTTAATTATATCATATCTAATATTTTTTTCTTATTTTCTCTTAAAAGTGGTTTTATATGAGTGTGGTTTGATGGTAGAGCAAAATAGGTATAGTTATATAAATTATTGGACTTACGGAATGGGACTCACAATATTGAAAGATACATCAAAGAACACTTCCATTGCACTTGGCCATCCACCAATCAATATGAGCGCACGTCGGATGTTTGGTAGCTAAGAACGATCTTCGATCATCTTCTCAGAAATATTCATGTACTCTTGTTTGTGAAGCATTCGCAAGTGAATCGGGACATAATTGATTGTTGAGGTGCTGATGATTCCTTAGAGATCATCCAGGGTGCCATTGTGATGTTGAACATTGAGATATAGTTGTGGTATTGGGAAAACGTCTAACCATTTTTGACAACATGGGGAAAGGTTGTTGAAGTTGTGATTTGATGAACATAGAATAGAATAGAGAATTAAAATTTTCACTTTATAATAACATAGCATTTATTTTATTTTTTTGAATACTATTATTTTTGATATTAATAAATATCACTATTATTTATTTGAGCAATTTATTCAATATCTTTAAATATTAAAAAAACAACAACGGACTAATATTCAATTTGATTGATATGTTTGAATATCTTTAGTTGACAAATCAACATATCCTTTAAAATAATTATTATTTAAACTTATTATAAATAGTACAAAATTTTTATTTTCAGATAATTATTATTATTTTTACCAAAAAGCACACCAACCAACATAACATTGGCAAAGATGTTCATGTGAAGTGGCTTGATCGATAAGTTTTTGAACTTGTTCGGCGACCTCCAATGTCTCATTACTAAAATCTCTACCAGTCAACTTCTTATTAACACGATTAATTACAACGAGAGCTCTTTCGTTCAATGCCTCTGGAACAACTTCAGCCTCAACCTGTTCATCGACTCTTTGGTGACCTCTTGGTTGTCTGTGTACTGGACTGGTGGTGAGTGAGGGTTCTGGAGATTCGGTATCGATGAGATCCTGTTTGATTTTAGTTTCCTTTTCGTGATTGGGTGTGAGCAATCTCCAGTTGATCAGAGGATCGTGAACAAATGCCTCCAACACTGCCATCAAACTCTCTTTGTTATTTCTGAGAACGGTCATAACCGCTTCACAAGTCAAACGGAAGTTACCTTCGATTCCTGAAACCTCCATAGCATTGATCAACATTCTTGTGAGACGGAATGGAATCTTCTCTGGATACTTCTCACGATGCATAGCAACTTCGAAACAGTCACCGAAATCGATATGTAAAATACGACCGGTGTGACGATCGAGCATAAGATTCGATGGATGACGATCCCCCAGACCCAGAATGTAACCGACCATCGACATGACTGCGAGTGAACGAGTGTAGTTGGTACGACGATCGAGCCAAATCTCAGAGTTTCTAGATTTCAGCCAGAGAACCTTGTGGAGATCCTGTCCGGTTGTCGATTCGAGAGCATACTCAAAGACTTCGACCTTTTGGAGCAGAGTGAGATTATCATAGTCGGAACACATCTGCAACATCAAACGATGTTCAATATTGAGGAGAATCTTGCTACTCTCACGATAGTCACGAATGAGAGCATGCAATGTATCAGAGTGTGGAACCCAACCGATCAGACCAGAGTTTGGTGAGAGTGGAATGACACTGAAACGTCTGATACTCAAATGAGACTTGGCAGTTTCATGATTGGCACTGAGCGATGTGTTTACCAAACCAAACAGCTGCATTACTCTTTCGTCTTGTCTGAGATCCTCGTGTCCCTTCAACAGGAAAGTGTATTCCAAACCATCGGAACCAATGATTGTGAGTTTACGAGGTCTCTGTTTCGATGGAATGACGCTCAACACTGGAGAGAATGATTGAATTCTAATGATTGGTTCACCAGCTCTATAGGTACCCGGTACTACCAAATCCATATCGGATGAATTGATCAACTTTGGTGAGATGTACTGGAGTTCCAATGAAATCATTTGCGGTAGTTGTTTGTAGATTCTTCTGAACACCTGGTAGTAGAGATCCCAAGCTTGATTGAGATCACCGTCCTTACGCGAACGTTCGTATTTCTTTGACCATTCGAGTGCCTCTTGAAGATCACGACCAAATGCATGAATGAATGAGGTTTCCGATGTTGTTTCTGGACCTTTCTCAAGGATCTGATGGAGTGGTGCAAGAGTGGCCAACATAGCATCCGGATTGTGCTCACCAAAGTATTGACGTGAGGCATCTTCTAAACCTTCGTACCACATCTCATGCCAGAGAATAGCGGAACGAACCAACTCTTGACTGACAGGAAGTGCCTGATCAACGAGATTGGTATGTTTACGCATCTTATCCATGATTGCCTTGGCAGCTGCGAGACGAGCTGGCGACTGTGACTTGGTGGCAACGGTCAGTGGATATACAAGAGCTTGTGGATGCTCCTTACCAATCGAATCGAGCAACTCGTGTAATAATCTTCTAACTGGCAATACAGGTGCATGAATACGTGCAATCAGCTGTGGAATAACTTGTAACCATGTATCGATACTGATTGTATTGAATCCTGTCATCAAAGAGGCTTCTACATCTTTTTGTGCACCGTGCTTGAACCAGAGAGTCAACAGACGAAGTGTGTCTTGGAGTGATTGATCTGGTGCGAGTGCGATCGATCTAAAGAAACTGTGAATGGCTGGGAGCAAGTGACTGGCGATTTGCTCTTGAGTACCACCGTTTTGCTCGTAGTGCGAAACAACTTCGAAATTGATCAAAGCCCACGAGTGCCATGCCTTGTACCAGTTGGGATCGCAATCGGTTGCCGAACGGAACGAAGCAATGATGTGTGGAATCGATGATTCATTCAGTGTATCACCGAGTTCGAGTTGCCACTCTCCCAACTTCAAATGAGCACGACCCTGTAGCGGAAGATCGTCGGTATCCTTCAGTGCCTGCACAAATGTACGTAGTCTTTCGAATGCCGGTTGTTTGGCGCCAGCACTCCAAAGTTGTTTAATATAGGCAAATGTAATACGTGGATGAGTGTTTGGTAGGATTCCACCAAACTGATGAGTGGTTGGATCTTTACCCATCAACATTGACAGTGTTTTTTGAGCCAATCCAATTCTGGAACTCTTTCTACAGAGACCAATGAACTTCAACCACATGTCCAACTCTTCGTGTGGCGAAATCACCAATGAGTGGACGGCAAGTACCGATTGCCAGATATCTACATTGTGTTGGCAACCTCTCAATCTTGTCTTCCAGGTATTCTTGATCATCTGACGACGATCGTTTCCTTCACCTCCACACTTCTTGTACTCGATGATCTCCTCTAGCTCAGAGAGTTGTTGGAGACGAATCACCATCTTATAGGCACGGTTATAGCTCTCACCAAGCAGCGCAGACAATTCAGTGTCGACCAATGAACGTGCGTGTTCAATGTGCTTTTGAGCGTTGTCATAGTTGTCCTTGTGGACTTCGAGAATGGCACGATAGAACGATCCTTCAATGGTATCCTGTGACATTGCCTTGACATACTCATCCATTGACTCCCAACTAGAAAGATTCCAAGAGGCGGCGGAAGCAAGTGGTGCAATCGATAGTCTTGTTCCTTCGTTTGCATTCTTCCAGACATCGCTTGTCAACTGTGAGAGACGCTCCCATTCACCGAGTGCATGTAGACATCTCATGATACCGAGTGTATTCTCAATTGAGTTGGGATCGTCCTTTTGTTTCTTCTCGTAGGCAGCCAACGCATCCTCCCAACGTCTGAGCTTCTCGTACCACGACTCCTTCAGCTCGACACTATGATTCTTTTGGGCATAGATAAGAATACCGATGGCAGCTTCCGGTTGTTGCAACTGATTGTTGATACTGATCAGTGCTTCAATGGTGGAGTTGGCAGACTGTTGGAATTCAATTTCTTTGTAGTGCAATGCTTTGGCGTAGGCATGACACTTTTCTGCGAGAGCACCAAGTGTTCTGATATCGATTGGCAGTGGCTTCTCGTGTAGCTCCATAAACTCTGCGAGATTAAGAAGAGTCTGAAGGATTTCTGGTGGAATGTTGGGTGAGAGCAGTGCAGTCTCTAAACTGGTAACCAATTCATCTTGATATTGCTCGTGCAACTCGGTCCAACACGATACGAAACCGGCATTGAACAACTCACGAACCAACGGATGATAATCTTGCGCCAACGACAGACAAGAACGTAGTGCGGGCGAAGGTGATTCACGAAGGAGTTCAACAGAGAAACGACGAATCCATTCAACCCAATCTTCTTTGGTCGAACGCTGAGAAGTCTCCCATGCATTCTTCAAGTGCTGTTCATTGGCCTTTAGCTTTTTGAATCCAATCTCCGGAGATACAGTGGTAGTGTTCTCTTCGGATGCGGTGTCTGGATGTCTGATTCCCTGGGTGTCGCCATCGCCATTGCCAGTGCCAACCAACTGTTGATTCTTCAACAACTTTGAAACCAAAACCTCGTAGTTGTTACACTGGATTTCACGCTTGGCCAACACCTTTCCAACCATTGGGATGAAGATGGCATAGTCGGAACCGAGCTGGTAGACGAGAGCACAAAGTGTTTGAAGTGCATCATCTTTCAGCTCGTTGGTACCGTCGACATCCAAAACTCTTGCCAATGGATGGATGATTCTCGATGCATAATCAGAGAAATTGAGCTTTTTACATAGACGACCAATGGTTTGAATCGCTAGAATACGTACTTGTGGTGTGACATCGACTTGCTCAAACAATTTGACAACGGCTGGAATCACCAAATGCAAATAGTCATCGAGGTTCGTACCGAATACCTCGAGAGCTTTCAACACCTTTGATGTTGGCAATCTCTTTAGTGTACGATCGGTGTGCAAAACATTCAACATCTGTGGAATCAAATTTGGAAGATACACCTTGAATTCGTCGTTCAACGCTGATGAGATTTCCTCGACCAAATTGATCAAGTTCAACAAGTTGGAATTCCAGTATTTCTCGATGAGCGCAAAGATATCGACGAGATAATCACGAATGTGTTGCTTTACGATGGGAACGAGTTGAACGAGCTGTTGGAAGAGGAACTCTCTGAAACCTGGTTCGCATGAATTCATTACATGAAGGAACGGTGGCATAATCTGTGGAAGGAAAGGAATACACTTGAGTCCAAGACTCTTAAAGATAAACATAACCGCTTGAATGACATTGGTGTGATAGATGGAGAGCGATGGATCACGAAGAATCTTCATGAGCGCAGTGATAGCAACAGTAGGATAGTAGTCTTCGGACGACGGCGAGATGCTCACCAAATCATTGATGGAACCAGAGGTGCTCTTGTCATCGATCTTTGGATCCTCTCTACGCTGTCCAAGTTCGTTCATCTTGTGTTTGTACGGATCGAGTGCACCAAGGATACCCAACACCTTGATAACTTCACGTCGAATATTGCTGTTTCTCTCGGTCTTGATAGCGTTCAGGAGAATATCGAGAAGCGTTGGATACTTGGCGAATGGCTTGATAACGTAGCCAGTGGAAGATGCCAGTTGTCCAAGAGTTTTCAGTGCAACTTCACGCTTCGATGTTGAAGATTGATCTTGGAGAGTATCGATAATCAATGGGAGAAGCTGATCGATGTGTTGTGACATCTCTTCGCCACCGACCACCGAGAGTTCTCCGAGTGCTGCCAACACACACGATGCAACACGTGGATTACTGTCGCGAAGCTTTGGCAGTAGCGCCTTCAGGATTGGCTCGACGTATGGTTTGATCAACTTTTCAGAGGCGCCAATCAAATGTCCAAGCAAACGTGCTGACTCTTCCTTATTACGACTGTCACCACTAAACTCTAGTTCTGTCAGCAGTTGGATCAGTGTTTTTCTCAGTGATGGCATGACGTAGGCTGGATTACGAATGGTGAGACGACCGATGACAGAGATTGCCAACTCTCTGATTTCAAAGACCTCGTCGTTCAGCGCAATGAAAAGACTACGCAAGTTCTCTGCTTGCGCCAAATGGTGGTCGAATCGGATATCGAGTGAACTGAGTACGGTCTTACGAATCGATGGATTTGGATCGGCAATACCGACGACCAACAACTTTTCCAGTACCTCACCAACAATGACTGCGGTGTGTCCACGTGTTGGAGCTGGTTCGCCTGGCTTAACCATCAACACAGCACAGGTAATCGCTGCTTCTCTTCTAATATCGGGATTATCGTCATCCAGGAAAGTGGAGACTGTATCTCTGACAAACTCCAACAGGTTGTGATGTGAAAAGTCAAACGATCCAAGTGTGCGTAGTGCCAGTGCTGTGATAGCGGGGTCGGTGTCGGGGTTCGGCAGAGTATAGCCAATGGAAACACCTTGGAACGGCGCAGAACTCTTGCGGTACTGCGAAGGTGTGCCCGGTTCTTGATATGGTTTATTGGCGAGTACCTGCGAGAGCAACATCAAGAGTTTCGCTTGAATCTGTGGGATCAACGCAGGCAGCGAAACAGTGAGGTCGCGCAGCGAATCAGTGAGAACCGATGTCAGACCCGGTGTAAACATCTGCGGTAGAATAACATTGATGTGTGGAATCATCACTGGTCCGACAGCAGTCGACAACATACTGATACAAGTCAGCACCTCGGGATTGAACTGTTTGCCCTTGGTGGCCAACGCCGATTTTATCATAACAACGATCCTATCTAAATAAGGCTTAATACTGCCGCCCACCGCCAGAGCAATCTCACCCAGCGCAATAAAAGCAGTGGATCTCTCATTCTGATTTCTAAGTGCACCCAACAAGTGTGCCATACAAGTATTTAAATGATGATGAACAAAGTCTTTTGGACAAAATATAGCTAATCTTGGTAATAATGTGATAACTATACAAAAAAAAAAAAAACAAACAAACCAAAGTTAATATAAAAATTTCCAAATAGATAGTAGTGATTGAGTGATTGATTGATTGATAACATACCAGTTTTCTTTACAAGTTTATCACGATGCTCTTTATATCGTAGTATTGTATCACAAACATCTTTGAATCTATTGTACATGAAATCACCGGTGTTTCTAAGGAGTTCGCCAAGTGTGATTAACGAACCGTGTATGGCCTCGGGCGAACCATTCTGTTTGAATGCCTTTTGTGATTCATCGTAGATCTTTTGGTACCATTGAAGTCGGAGACGCGACTCACGCTCGGCGATCAACTCGAGACAGGCACGCAGCGCCTCGACGGCACCCTCACGAATGGCAAGCTTGGTATCGCGCAACGCCACCCAGATCAAATCGACAAAGTTGGCGGCGTGCACGTAAAATAGGGTTGGCGCATTCTGGGCGAGCTCTTTCAGAACCAGCACAGAGGCGTGTCTACGATTCTCGTAACGGTCGCCACTGAGCCACTCGAGAGCACGCGTCACCTCGAACTCGACACACTCTGCTGTCAGAGTGCCACTGGAACGGGCCAGACGACCCAGTGCCTTACTGGCCATCTGCATCACCGTCTGGTCGTTAGTGGACAGCGCGATACGCAGATAGTTGGCAAGTTTTGTGATTTTAGCTGCGTTCTCGTCGTAGTCTACATCTATCAACTCGTCGATCGCCAGAATACCACCGATCTTCTCGGCAATACCATTGCTATTGACCAACTCAAATATAATAACATTCACATCTTGCATAAATTTCGTGAAATTTTCATTCGACATCTCTCTTGATTGTGTAATTACCTGTTGTTTTTTGATATATATATATATATGATATTGTTTGTTTGTTAACTTTTTTACTTTTCTTAAACTACAATCAATGGTGATGATTGATGATAATCCGACATTAATGACTACTACTACTTACATAATTTCTTAAATTCTTTGATGCCTTTATTCTATCTTCCTCTTTTTTGTTCTTCAGATCCGAAAGGATCTTATTCAATGCATCTGCCCATTGAGGAGGTTGCTCTGAAGAAGACATTGTATAATCTATTTATTATTATTATTATTTCTAAGAACTAATACTACAACACCAAGTAAGTTAATGTTCTTTATATATATATATTATGATTGGTTATAATTGTACAACTATTCAATGTGTGTTTTCTATTTAAATAGCTAGAACATCAAAGAAAATGAACAAAATTAAGATAGTGACCTATATATATTTATATATTATATTTATTTACAAAAAAAAGATCCAAAAAAAAATAGAAAAAAATAGAAAAAACAAAAACAAAAGAAATGATAATTATAATATTATCACTATTCTATTCTAATGCTTTTGATTGTTAGGTAAGAGTTGAGTGATTTATATCTTATTATATTGTTTAAATTGGTTAAGATAAAAAAAAAAAAAAGAAAAGAAAACAACTAA